ACAAGAACGTCGAATCTGAATCACTTGAAAAAACACGGGGGTGCTTAACTTTTTTCCAGGTGTATAGAATCAACTACCCAACTTTGGTACACACTAGGACAATCCAATGGCAAGAAGAGAAGGAGGGATAGTCAAGGACAGAATTGTAACAATCCCACATTTCACTACTGTGACACACAACACAGATGGAGGAAATCGAGGGAGGAAGATAGACAATCTGAACTATGTGAGGACTTATGTTGATTGGGGTACTGACATCCATGCGAGGGTAGGATGAGGGCTCCCAATCGAAGGGGTGAACTGTATTCTGACTTCTCACTCCGTGATATTGGTTATCGCAATTAGGAGGATACTACATCACCTACACCCACAGAACACCATTGCCCTATTCAGTAACTGAATGGTTATTGTGTGAAACTTATTCAGTAGGGTGTCTCCATGCTCAAGTGCATTGGGAGACAGTGCAATGGGTGACCATCAAACCTTATTTTGAAAAGCAGACCATACCAAGTTATCACTCTAGGCATGGCAGGGATGGGCAGCAATCCCCTTCTGCTTTACCCATGCAGTCTATGGGTGGAATGGTCCAGGAATGGCCATGGAAGATAAAGCACAAGTTAATATGGCTGTACAGTGCAAATTTAGAGTTAAAGAGTACCTGGTCAGGCACCACTCATCATGGAACAGGATCCATTGATAAAAAAAGTAGATAAAGGCCCCTGAAAGAAAGAAACTGTGAAGAAAAACTTACCAGTTAAAGTCACACCAATGTCTGAAGAACAGCTACAGGTGGTAGACAAAACCCTGATGAAGAGGAAACCATGATAAGAAGTGGGTAGTGGAAGATGAATGTACTAGGAGTGGTCCACATGCCAGATTGTAGAATCTCCTCCATTGGAAGATGAAGACAAGAAGCAAGGGAAAAAGTGAGGTGTCTGAAGACACCTGGAACAAACTCCAGGAGAATGAAGGTAGGAAAGAACAGACCAATTGAACCAAAAGGCAGACCCAATCAGTAAGGGTAGAAGGTGAAAAATCATGAAAAGAGGGGGATTGCCAGGGGACAAAGAGTCAGGAACGTGTACCCCAGAAGGTAGCAACAAATAACCCTGACCAAACACAGAAACCTATCCGGATCCAGTCATGGGTAAAGATGGGAAATAGAAGGAAAAGAGGAACAACCCTCCCAAGCTGCTGAGGTCTTTAGGAAAAAGGAATGTTCCATATAAAGGAGAAGATAGCTAGGGTGATAAAGGGTACGTGAAACGTCAATGGCAAACCAATCCGACCTTCAATGTCTACAGACTAAGAGAAGAAGGAAAGATGTTTTGAGGGAAAGATGAAACACGTAACACGAGGAAAGTTGTTCAAACAGAGGTGAAGTAATGGAATGTCGAACCACATTAATGTCCCAATCTGGAAGGGCAGGATGCCTGGGAGGGCAATGTATCTGGAAGGAATGCATGAACAAAGGAAGTAAAAGCCCTACGGTATTGGGAAGAACAAAACGTATGGGATAATGCCACCTGATATCCGGAAAGTGGAGAGACCAAAGATGCACAGTTGAAGAGCTACGTAAGAAATCATACCACACATACCATGATAGGCTTGTTGGGGGAAACCCCCTGGTAGCAGAACAACTGCAAAATACCTTCCACTTGCATTAGTACACTTCCATGGAAGATGGACAGACAAAACTAGCTCATAACGAAGCAACTTGAGGGGTGAAACCAGATTTTCTTCTGAGGCTTGAAAGTTTCCAGGACCGTATAAAAGATTTAATGTCTCAGAAATGGGGCCATACGTAAATCCCCGAGATATGTTGAGGGTAAATGGACCCAAGCCAAAATGGCATCACAACCTATAAGGTCCCAACAACAACAAAAAAAACGTGTGGTACACCGGAGCCAAAGATGATATGTGGGCTAAAGTGGAGGAGAGAAAGCCAAAGGTATCTACATAAAACTCCTCAGGATTTCTGTGGAGAGCCTCAGTTAGGAGGTGTATGGAAGAAAGACACCATAAGAGATTGGTAAGGGTATGATGCAGGTGAGAATATTGGGCATCGGTAAGACTGACATTTGATTTGGGATCCACCCCCAAATAGGTAAAAGTAACCTAACAACTGCTGATTTAAAAAGGGATAGACTACCAAATTGTAAGAAACGGAGAACTGATAAGAAGTTCTCAGGAGGTATGGAATGCTAATCCCCTCACTCAATTGCGAGGCAAACTGATCAGCATGAGCCTGAATATCAGGGGAGGGAATAAAAACCAAAAAGGGTTGGGAAAATTGTTCATGCAATAAGGAAGGACGAGGTGAATAAGAAATAAGTGAAAGGAATAAAACATCACAAACCTGAGACACAAAAGCCATAAATACTGAATTAGGCCTAGGAGATTCCTCAGGTTGGGAATGTGAAGGAATGGCAAACTCTTAAGGTGGAAAAATACGATCAAAGTTCTCATCAGCCTGTAAAGGCTCAGTT